AGAGCCATTGTGACAGGCTGATGCACAGCAGAGGCCATTCTACAGCTAACTCTGAATTTTAAAGGGATTTAACTACCTGTCTTAACTACGGGATGAACAAATGTGTAGCACACTTTCTGTTCCTCGCAGAGCCTTTAGGACAAGACTCCCCTTTGTTCTGGCCCCTGTTTGTTTAGTTGGAAGTTAGGTCGTTTACATACTACATTCAAAATCCTCCCCAAAGGGTAACCCTCAGGCATACTTCTCTCTCTCTCTCTCTCTCTCTCTCTCTCTGTCTCTCACACACACACATACACACACCTGCACACACACTCACACATACACATACATTCTGTCTCTCGTGCTCTCTCACTTACACACACGTACACACAACATACACACATGCTTTTTCTCTCTCTCACACACACACACCCTCTCCCAAGCATATTCCCACACACACTCATATATACACACTCACACACATATGCACATGCTCCTCCCCCCTCACAGTTACATAGACACACACACACACACACACACACACACACACACACACACAAATGCACATACATGCCCCAAAGAGGATTCAAAGAAGACAAGAATAGCTCCTAACACATTCTTCCATGAGGGGCTGAAGCTTTCTAAAGATGCTGCTTCTCTGTGAAAGACTAGAGAGCGTTGTGACTAGGGAGTTGGAATGTTGCAGAATGAGAGCCAAAACTACTCTTGACTATCAGGTCCTATAGAAAAACAACAGCTTACCTTTAACCTTCGTTTATGGCCTAACATGTTCATGATTGTTAGGTAAACCTCTTAGAAGGTACTGCTAAGTTTAACAGCTTAAATTCTACCAACCCTAAAGCTAAGAGTGCTCTAGGAACATCTGAAACCTACAGAAAGACTTCCCTATTTGACTGTTGTCTACCTACCTGACAGTCCACAACCGAATTTGTTGAATTCATTGATTTGTGACTGTTGTCCTATGGCTATACAGGTACATGTAACCTCTTTATGATGGAGTATGTCATTCCATATGGAATCCTATCTTGACCCTGGCTACTTGTTTTTGCTCAAAATAAACTATGTTCTTACTTCCTTGAAAGCAGAGTGAAATACATTCTGCTGATTCAGTTGACAGACGCCTCACCCCCTAAAATAATGTGAAGAGTCAAGCTGGGTGGCATCAGCAGGAGCATAACTAGAGCCCAGTACAGTCCTGCCACAGAGGGCACGTGTTTCCTATGGCTGCATTTAATACTCTTACTTCATGAGGTTGGAACCAAAACACATTGTAAGCAAGCATGGAATACCTCAGTGGTCTCAAAATTCTCACATGGTACTATCACCAAGGACACACACAGCTTTCGAAAGATGCAGGAGCAGCACACACTGCCAGCACAATAAAACGTAACTGAAGTTGGACAAGAAAAGCTACAACAGGGTCAAGGCAACCAACTGAAAACAGTGTAAAAGGAAAGAGGCACTACAGCCCCGAGCAATTGTGCTGGGGTGTGGTCACTAACGTCTCTATGATTCCTGTCTGTTCCATGAGTCCCTAGGACAAAATGGAGCTGGGATGGTGAGGGTGGTACAGTCACGTAGAGGTCTGTGTCTTAGAGCAGCCAGTGTTCTGCCCTTTACAGACCCAGGCAGTCAGGATGGGCCACAGACACACAGCACATCTGACAGCCACACACTGGGTCTCTTGAGTGCATCACCTGCTTTGAGAATGGAGCTGGATCTTTTCCTTGCCAGGCAGGCATCCTCAGTTACAAATTCTTCCACAGGGAAGAGAGAAACTGAGATCTCCAAACCCCTGGTAGTTCACCCCACTGCATCCAGAACTTGTTAGACACTGCCCCCCTTACCCAACCCATGTCTCCCACTCACATCAGAGTCCTTGGCTGCCTGGTCCTCATGCTTGCCATAGCTTAAGACCCTCCCAAGCAGTCATGCAGGAAGAGCTTGGTCTCTTGATCTACTCCGGTCTGAGAACACAGGAGGTCTTGAAATACTGCGCATGCTGCAATGCCCCACTTATGTCTTTGCCTATGCTCTTTCCCTGAGGATCCACCAGCTCGGACCTTCTGAACAATCTTCTACCATTTGCTACAGATGATACCAAACCCCACCAGGATTCCCTACCAGAGCCAAGGTGCAAGCCTGGATCCCCTCACAGTCAAGGTGAGTCCCAAGTCTCAAGGATTGGTGGGGCACAGTCCCCAGGGTGGTTGATGCTGTGGCCCTCGAACATCCAGGACACTAGTAGCGCTTTGGGAGTGGACTATAATTGGGCATTACTTAAAGAAATAAAAGTGTGCTCCACTGAGGAAAACACTCCAGGAAATGTCAAGTTCACACCCCTGAAAACGCAAGGGAATACTTTAAATCTAGATGAATACTTGAAGAAAAAGCTTCTTAAAGCACAGTGTCTAACTACAGGTGGGAGAGACTGCTGGAGCAATGCACAAAGAGCTATTCACTCCAGGTACAACATGTGTGGTTTCACCCATGCAAAATGTCAAGCCACAGCACAGAAAATGAAGGTATCCGGATTAAACAACTGTGCAGTTAAATAATGCACATAAAGATAAACCCTTAAAAGTGAATGGCATTCAGCTGGGTTAATGAGGTTGATGACATTACCAGATAGAAACTTCCTTCTTAAGAACACAAACTCTATAGGTACTAGACCTCCCCTCATCTGCCTACCTTATCCAAAGAACTGCAAATGGCCTTGATCCTGGTGCTGCTACGAAACCAAGAGAGGCGACACACTCAAGCAGCACCAGTCATAAGAGCTAAGATAGGAAAGCAGCCATGGTGATTGCCAGAGGCTGGAGGGATAAGGAATATGAATATTATTCAGCCATGGAGCAGGACACAATCATGCCATCTACAAAATGAATAGAACCAGAGTACATCAGGTCATTTAAATAGACTGGCACCAGACATCAGAAGGCTATATGCTGTATGTTCTCTCTTATGTGTAGAAGCTAAAACAAGCCAACATAAATATACAATAGAGATGGCCACAGGGTAGGAGGTGGGTTATAGATGAACGTTGGGTAATGGGCACTGAAGCACAGTAAGGTGAAAGGTGTATATTCTGGTGTTCCCAGCACAGTGGAGTTACTATATCACAACCTACTGCATATTTTATGAAAAACTAGCAGAAAAGAGTACAAGGGCTATGAGATAAAAATAATGGCCAGGAAGGAGATGCTAATTGTCCTGACTTGATCAGGGCATCCTGCATGTACATGCTGAAATATCACACTGAACCAATTAAATTAGCATATCTGATTAATACATATTTATCAAAATAAAATTGAATTATAAATAAATAAAAATAAAATTTCCTCCATACCCACGAGGAAAAAATAGGAAAGGAAAAATGCTATAAGCAAGGTGATCGATGAAAAGGCAGCAAAGATAAGAGAGAAATGAAATCAGACAAAAGCTGAGGATGCAGGAAAAGACTGAACAGAAGAACCATGGTCTCCTTCAGAAACACACACAAGCATGGCCCACAGAGAGGCCTGCTGCTCCAGCCCTGCAGGGTAACTTTAGCTCTGAGATGAGAAGATTTCCTGAAGATTCACTTCTTGACCTTGTGAAGGCAATAAAGCCAAGGGCAAGCTAGGTGCAGTGGTGCATGACTTCTAGCATTTGGGAGGCTGAGGCTGGAGGATCAAGAGCTCAAGGCTAGCTTGGGCTCCATAGCAGGATCCTGTATCCCCGCCAACCCCACCAAAAAAGAAGAAGCACATTCAAGAATATCTTAGAAAGTACGATGGAAATATCAATACCAGCATGACAACTCTGGAGGCTAAGGAGAAAGCCTCTGAATTTCTCTGACTGACATTCATACATATGGTATATGACACATATAATGTGTACACAAACATGCACACATGCATGCACAAATGCCTATATATGGATATACACACAAACACGCTTACACATACAGACATTCCCACAGCTCCATGTGTACCCATGTGAACAAATGCAAATGTATAAATATGCACATATGAATTCCTACAGGTACGAGCACACACAAGCACATAAACACATACCGCCCTCCAGTTTCCTACCCACATGTCCACACGCTCATTAGCACATGCACAGCCTAAAAATATTTATGTGATTTATTTTTCAATTAGATCCAAACTTTGCTATAAATACTATATTGCATTACAGTGTCTAGGCATTGGAAGAAATGTTTTAAAATTAACAGTGGATTAATATCTTTTATTGATAAGGAAGGTAAAAAACAATTGAGAAATGGACACCTTGTCCTATAGCCTGAATAACCATTATGAGACTTTCAGCAAGAGGTACCCAGAGGGCCTGTGAGCCCCAAGCTGAAAGAAGATTCTGGATTCTTCTAACAAAGACACCCATGAGTACCAAGTCTCACTCTTAGGCTGCCTTGAATCACTCTTAGCTCACCCAATAGGCTCAGTTTCCTCTCAACACCAGACAAGGACACACAGGTGACAGGCCACAGGGGGACAAAAGGGCTGATGTGGGGTACCCTTCTGTCCTATTTCATCTGCAGAATTGGAGCTCAAAGGAGGGTTCACAGGCCAGGGAAGATGAATGCCTAATACCAGAGGGTCAGGATGAGCTGCACATTTACCTCAGCTGAGGTGTGCCCAGTCCCCACCTCACTAACCGTCCCAAGCCTGGGCTAACCCACTACAAGTGCATCAGAAAGATGAGACACTCCCACATGCCACCCCATGGTCATACACATCTTAAAAGCATCTCAGCAGCTTCAGAGACGAAAGCCCAGGCTGTGTGCCCATCAGATTCCTCTCTTTTCCCCAGATACCACCACAGAATACTGAGCATTGCAGCCTTGTCATTAAAGGGTACACAGAGGCTCAAGATGAGAAGAGGTAAGCACACCACAACTGCCATTTATTAAATAATGCAAATGAACATCAAAATCCAGCACAGCTGGGAGAGAGGCAGAGCTGACCAAAGGGTCACCTCATACTGAACACACTGACCTGCTTCTCGTTCTCATCCTCCAGCCGCAGCCGGTCCTCAATGCAGCTTCGAGCTTGCAGGAAGGCCTTCCTTTGTGAGCGCTCCGTCAAGATCCGCACAAAGACTCCATACATATTCACACCCACGAAGAGCAGGGCATTGGCACCGAGCTGTAAGGAGAGAACAAGTGCAGAGTGTAGCATTCCGGCTAGTCAGATACAGGAGGGCCTGGGTCACCATGGAAGCCACTAAGAGGTTCTCCATCAACCCCTCAGCCAGCTCCAAACTCATAACCACCCAGAAATATTGACGCACTTCTCAGACCCACAGTGAAACACAGCAGGAGCCACACGTCTCAGAAACACACCTTTGTCCACCCAACAGACAGCAATGCCACAGCATGTCATGGGATTGAGGGGTAGCTACATCTAGTGCTCTGGGCTGAATTTTACTCCCTCCCAATTTTATATGTTAAAACCTTGAGCCTAGAAGACCTCAGAATGTAATTGTATTTAGAGACAGGTTCTTAAAAGTGGTGATTAAAGTACAATGAGATCTTAGGGTGAGCTCCAATCCAACCTTACAGATAAGAGACCAGGACAAAGGACTGTGAGAGGCTCCTGAGGAGCCAGCCAGGCCCCTACCTTGATTGCAGACCCCAGCCTCCAGCACTTCGAGAAAAGACACTTCTGTTATATAAACCACCACCCCCACTCTGTGGCACTCTGTTATGACAGTCACACAAAAACAACACACCTACAACATAAGACTATTAAATGGCTGCTTTCAACACCCTAGAAAGATTCAGAGGAGGTAAGTTGACAAAAATAAAACCCGAGTAATTGATTCGGGCACAAAGTAAACTGAAGCACAGGAAGACTAGGCCCTGTTCTGTAAACAGCCCCTTCTGCCATGACTGTCAGGCCGAGGAGGGTCTGTGGGGAGCACAGATGCTTAGGCCTTCTTTGAAGGTCAGGGGGATGCTACCTGTTTCGTTAGATAGGATCGAAGGAACATAGCTCATAACTCAGCTCTAGTCAAGACCCCACAGAACCAGAAGACTTCACAGAGATTGACAATGGCCAAAGAACTCAGCTCGGACCCCACACATCAGCCCTGACTACTGTTCCCTGAAGGCCTCTTCCCCTGTCCTGTCCCAGTGCCTAGCATACCACAGGACCAGGGTGGGACAGAGACATTTGTCATGAGTCTCAGAGCATGGCATCCCCAGAGCAGGGGACACCTATCCAACCCAGGGAAATGTGGATCTGTCAGCTGCCAAGGTGTGAAATTTCTATCTGATTAAATGAGGTATTTCTATTTCTACATTAGGATGAGGAAGATGCAGACTTCAAATGCTACCATTCGCCACAGACTATCCCCAAGGAGTCCAGACACGGCTGTGTCACATTCTATACAAAGAGATCAAGGTCAGTAAGCACAGTAAAGGATGGATCAAGCATCTCCTGGCAGCTTCTGAGAGAGGCTGTGGAGATGTCCTAACCAGGAGTAGACCTGAGACAGCCTTGTGACAAGCACGGCCAGTCCCTGTCATTCCCGAATGCTGACCTGGGAATAGGTGGGAGATCCAGCCTGGGACCCAGATAGAGGACAGATTTGGGAATCAGACAAGGGTCTGGGTATGTGTTGTGTGAGATGACCTCTTTCAATGTAATTAAAATGAGGAGCAGAACTGGGGACTCTCTTAACAAAGCATGCAGGTCTCATGAGTGACCTCAATCTTGACTTGATGTGCAAGCAGGGACAAGCCTGAAGGTGAGTTGTTTCTTGCAAAGGCCTTTACTGATGGAAATTAGAGCATGCGCTCAAGCAATGGAAGCAGTTGTTAGTTTAGAGCTATATTTCGGGGACATTCCAGTGGGTTGCATCAAATAAGGTAAAAGTGGGATTGTAACCAGACAAGCTCTTTAATTTGCTTTTACAAGCATCCTATAACTACTTACACCCCATGCTGTCATTGAACACTAAATCCCTTTTGGTACCTACCTCTAACTATATGAATTCCATCTGTCACAAATAAAAATTTGCATCTCAAAGATGTAAACCAGTAGTGGTCATCTGTAGTCGAGAAACATATCAGAGAGAGCATTCACTGTGACCCTGAGCTCACCATGTGACCCCAAGAATCTCACTGTGACCCTGGCATCAATGAACTCACTAAGCATGAGAACAAGTGTGTCTCTCTGTGTCCTCAGTAGCTAAACTCAACCCCACACCACTGTGTGTTCTTCCTCCTGGCACCTATGCATCCAATGATGTGGACCATGTGCTGCACTCTACAGGACATTCCAATATCATCACTGTGACTCTTCAACTCACAAGAAGTCAGCTAAGTAACTCAACCATAGGAAGACACATTAAATACACTGGGCGGTAGGGCTCAAGGTGTGGCAGGGTATAGGCCACAGACAAGGAACAAAATATGTCCAGAGCATGTGAAGTCACATGACACAAACAGCAAAGACAACCAGCACCACCACCTCCCTGACAGGGCAGTAGAGTTCTCTGGAAAACACATAATGTGGGAACTGATGGTACAGGACTCACAGTTACTTCAGCCCCGGGGCCAGGCCTGCTGCTGCTAGGGCTTAAAGAACCCTGAGCAAGGCCTGTCACTGTCTATGAAAGCTTCTAAAGCCACTGGACACTGAGTCCCAAAAGCAAAACTGGAAACCCAGGCTCAAGGCTAGAGCAGCATCTCTAGATCTGAACACTGGGTGGACAGAACATCTGAGTTGGATATCATAGTCATTACGAAGGTGACCCTGTACAATATGCTCAGGGTCACATGGAGATAGTGGTTGGTACAGCCTCACCTTCTCCTTGCCCTCAACACAAGACAAAAGCCAAGGCTGAGGGTTGAGAGACCAGGCAGGTGGGCATGTAGAGTAACAGCACCTTTCAGGACAATGTGGCACACTGGGAATTAATGGGAGATCTTACCAGCCCCTGAACAGCATGAGGTCTGCAACTGGCTCAGGCCAAAGGAATGAGCCATGCTATCAGCTGTGCAGGTGATTCCCAGAGAAGGGCCTGCACAAGAGGCTACCTCCACCTTCTAAAGGAAGTGAAAGTAGGGCAGACACACTCCTTAAATCGAAAACTACAATTAAAGCCTCCCTTCTGAGATCTGCCCACATCCTATCTTCTTTTCTCCCATGACATCCACCAAGAACGTGTGGCCCCAGATTGAAGGTGTGTGAATGAGAGTGGATGAAGAAGCAAGGATTGGTGCATTCCCTTGTCAGTCAGTGTGCTAGGCCTCATGGACCACCCCTTCCTCCCTAAACACACAATAGTTCTTATATGTGGAGTGGAAAGGCTGTGGGGCTGAGAGATAGGCTGGCTGCCCATCTCCACACAGCACAGGGGTAGCCCTGGGAGTCCCTTGGCTTCTCAGAATCCCTGATCAGACGTGAGAATGTCCCTTCTCCATGTCCACTAGCTAAAAATCTGCCTGCTCTAGAAGAGAAGTTTATCCAACGACCCTTAGAACATCGGAAGGGCTGCATCAATGAGGTCAAAATTCTACATGCTGTCCTCCAGTGAGCCACTCCAAGGGAAAGAGATCAGCAGATCAAACAGTCTGTCCCCCACAGAGAGCATTGTGGACAAGGGTTTTGTGTGGGCGGGGGAAATGACACCCCAGGAAGACTAAGGGACATCTGCTAAATACCTCTCACCTGCCCAGGCCTGGCCACCTAGCTAGCCCTGGAGCCCCACCTCTTATTGGCCAGTGCTACAAATGCAGACACAAACTCACCACCCTTGTTATCCATGGGAATAGTGATTCTCAGTTCTCCCCATGAAGCTTTCTCAACTTCTGGCCAAAGGGGCATTTGAAGCCAACACATTCCCCAGTATAAGAAACTGGCAATATAGCTGAGTGTCTGCTCATAATGGTAAGAGGGAGGTGGTTTAGGGTCATCATAAGCTTATCAGAGACCAAAGAGCCACAGGCTACACAGGGAAGAGGCCAGGCTCCCATCCTACCTCTATACTCCCTGACGGCACCCTGGCCTACCACTGCCACTGCCCACTGGCCTTGTGGCAGCATGTGGTCAAGGCTTCTGGACTTTGTGTGTTCTCTCTGGCCTTCCACCCAGTCACATGATACCCTCTTATTTTTATTTATTTATTTGTTTGTTTGTTTGTTTGTTTGTTTGTTTGTTTGTTTGTTTGTTTATTGGTTTTTTGAGACAGGGTTTCTCTGTAGCTTTGGAGGTTGTCTACTAGCTCAGTAGACCAGGCTGGCCTCAAACTCAGAGCAATACACCTGTCACTGCTGGGATTAAAGGCGTGCGCCACCACCGAACATACTACCCTTTTAAATTATCCCTTTTCTCCTCTTCAGCTGTAATTTTTTCCCTTCTGATCCTTTCCAGGATTCTGAGTCTTTGACGGTGGGCTCCACACCTCCCTCAGGAATGGGTGTGGCAAGGGTGGGTGCTGTGCTCAAGGCCTCTCAACTATTCTCCTGTTTCCAAAAGCACCAACCTCACCACACACACATATGCACACTCCATACTAATCTCACAGAACGTCATGGATATTTCTCGTGAGCCCCACACTGTCAGGCAGACGTCAGAGCATGGCACAGCAGAGCTAACAGGGTCTGTGGGAACAGGGCCAGCACTAATAACTACTCCACATTGTCCTTGCATTCCCAGCTCACTCTGTGCCACTGACCCCATTCCTCAGACAGACACAATAAGGGCAAGGAAGAAAACAGGGCTTCCCAGGGACTACAACCCATGCACAATCCCTTGCAGTAGCCCCTATCTGAATGATGCCCCAGTAATGGGACAGACCCTGCATCCAAACCAGTGTCCACCTCACAGAAATCCGAAGCAAATTAGCAACAAGGAACCATTCACCTCCCCATCAAGATGCAGGGCTAGCTGGCATTAGACCCAGAAGGCCAGCTACAAACAAGTTCAGAAGCCTTCATGGCCTCTGCTTGGCCAGGCAGAGCCCAGAGAAAAGGGTCTCCCAGGGACCCAGAATTCCTCAAAGCCACACATGCAGCAGGTTCCAGGCAAGAAAAGGACCAGGAGCAGCATCTCCAGATGCTTGCCCAGCATGCTGAAAACATCATCAGAGCCAGCTCCTCAGTACAGGAGGGTTCTGTCTTGGCAAAAGAGCTGGG